GAAAGTGGCCACTGGAACCTCAAATTTGCAGTTTGTTAGACATATCGATTTGGATTTGACTCATCCGAGTAAAGATTTTTGTGAAAGCGCATTAAAAATCACGATGAACTGGTGACGAAAGGCTGGTGACGAAAGGCTGGTGATGAAATACCAAAAGTACCAAGGATTGTGTGATAGTTTGGAGTAATTCAGGCATATGCACTCCCCGTGCCTCCCGCCAACGCTGAGTGGCAGGCATTGTCTGATGGCTGCAAAAATAGAAATGCAAGAGTAGGTTTAGGATACTTTCCCTGTGTTTCTTTGCTGGCTTCACCATGAGATTACTAGGTATATCTTGGGGCCAAAATAGATGTGAGAATAAAGAAAGGAACTTCGACACATGGAATGATTATCAGGATCCCTTGTTTGAACTCGCGTTATGTGACCAAATAAATGTGTGACTACTACCTAGTAGGAACAAAGGAAATTGATCAAAAATTTGGAAGCGCTTTCATGATTAACTCCCAATTGATCTGAGTATCTGAACCCCGGACTCCATATATGAAAGATGTGACTTCACAAGTGGGGGAGAGAACAAGGCTGGCTCCGTTCTTGTTATTGAGATATCGTCCCTTGCAGCAGACAAACAAACAAACAAACAAACAACAAATCACAGCCACATTGACAAGTCCTACAGATATCCCGAATTAGCAACAGGAGCTTGATTCCGCTATCTCTCAGGGATCAAATGAAGATTTGGGGTCGGAACACAATGCACTTCATCGCTTCCATGAGTTCCATTAAAGCAAAAAAGGTGGATCTCAAGGAATCAAAGGAAGTTCAGACGGTTGATCGGTTGGATATGAAACATCCACAGACCCTGTCAAGAATTAGCACACAATGTAATTAACAGGATGAAATTCCCATTCAAATTTAGCCGTCGTCTTGTGCGTCTTGTGTGAAGGCTCATAGGTGACGGTTGGAGAACGAGCTACCATCCAACGGTTGGAGATGGGTAGATCTTGGTTACATTCGTACCTGTACCTGCACTTGTACCTGTGCCGCCAAGGAGATAATGATGGTGAATTCCCCTATTTCTGACGAGTATGTAATCAAGTGAGATTTAGTAAATCATACCTAGGTGGTGATTTAATAAACCCGATTTTCCTTGTCTGTTGAAGGCTTTCTTTCAGAATCATTTATCAAACTTTCTCTCACACACACGCACACGCACACCTCTTTCATGTGTCCAAAGTGAGCTTGATTCTCCACCAAATAATAGCAAGGGAGAAGAAGAGCGAAATTGAGTTTGAAGTTGTTAATAAGAGTTTCCCTTCCCCACATGCTGCGTGCTACGAAATACTATATTCTGGGTAACAGGTAATTAATACCTTGGTAATTCAGAGGTAATTCAGAGGTAATTCAGAGGTAATTCACCCAAAACTTCAGCGCGCCCACAGCCAACGAAAACCATCAAATCAATCCTTTAGGCTTTGTCGCCCTTTGATTCGCTTCCTCAGGCGTCGCCATAACCCCAAAAGGAATCCACCAATCCACCAATCCACCAATCCACAAGAAATCCCTGTCGATTTGCAACTCCTACACCAAAAAGATTAATAACCTCGAAATACCGAAATCGTTCCTTTCCTTTTAATAATCACCTCTTTCCATAAGGGGTGATTTGTTGCTTCATTTCTCAAACTGGCAAAATTCATCATGAAGTGGTTCCGAAGAAAGAAGAAGCCAGGGAAGGAGCTATCAGATAAACCATCTCTCGTACGCAGTTATACGAATCGAGCAGATCGAAGGCATCATGCAGCATATGCAACCCCGCGTGGATCTATCATAAATAAGCTTCCCGATAAAGTTCTCGAACGGATCTTCATACTTGTATGCCCTCATTCTCAAGACGAAACTTATGAGACATGCGAACAATCTTCTCTGGATGACTGCTGTCCATTATGCGACACAAGGGATTTGGCTCATTGTGCGCAAGTCTCAAGAAAATGGAGGAATGTAGCTATTGGAGTTTTGTTCGTAGTCCAACCATTTGTGCGAAGTGTTCAATTAAGCTGACTCAATTATTGCGCAGGTATCATAGTGTTCGGATTGATGCAGTTCATTTCTGCGAACTCGAAGAAATATTATCAGAGAAGAGGAAACATAAAGGTCGATTCAATCGCAATGCCGAACCAGAAGAAACCCCCAACGTTAGGTTGCAACTACTGTGTAGAACGATTCGGGATAATAGGATGTTGGGAGAATTGGTGGAATTTCTCAAAACACCATATATGACGAGAGGAGCTTGTAAAGCCGATCTTGCACGCAGCGTGGCAGTTTGTCCTAATATGCGATATCTCGATCTTCCCGAGGGTATATTTTCAGATGATCCTTCCTGTCACACACTTAAACTCGAAATTCAAGCGCGATGTCCAGATCTACGCAAGATGACATACATGACTGGCTCGGAAAGAAGCCTTGAACAATTGGCAGGCGGCAAGATTTGGAAAAAACTGGAGGTACTGGAATTTACAAGACTTGATATGGACCCGACGATTATTCGACGTGCCTTGGGCTCATTGACTGGGCTTCGAGCTTTGAAAGTTACAGACACAAAGACCTTCAATGATGAAGTATTCCAACATAGCGATTATCTACCGCCGTTTCCAGCTTTTACTGAATTGGTTTTCGAAAATACACCCAATGTTACAGCGATCGGCTTGGAGGCGTATTTATTCCGTTCAGACACGCAAGAGAAACTTACAAATCTTTCATTGACAGAAACGGGTATCCATCCTTCTACTTTGCATAAAATCACAGACAATGCTCCCAGGTTGACCTTTCTGTCAATTGTTGAGTCAGTACATGCGTCTTTTACAGCTCTTCATAACATTCCACCACTTTCCTCAATGTCACTACAAACATTGCACTACGAAATTACCTCCGCATCATCTGCAATTACATTCAAGAGCGTTGTACAAAGTCATTACTCATACCTCACCACCTCCTTGATCTCCAATAGACTTCCCGCGCTTCGAGCTCTTTACGTTCGCGATTCTGAGTTCCCCGAATCTTTAATTGGTCTCGCACCTCCTGCTCCCGCATATGCATCCGATCCAGATAATTTTGTACCACCTAATCCTTTCGATCGTTCGTCGAATGCGCCTTCTGCCATGTTCAATAATCGATTCAGTTCCAATAATCCTTTTGCAGCTCAAGCAAGCCTGTCTCCGGCGATGCCTGCTGGAATGGGACTTAAACAAGAATTGGAGGTTTACACTAAAGGTCTTGATGAGATGGAATGGAATTTCGCCAAAGTCCAACCGCCAACTGCACCCGGTAGAAGAGGTTCGGCAACGACAGCAAGACCGATTAGCAGTTATGGACTAGGTGATAGTATGGGTAAAGCATGGGCTCCAGGTCATGGCGCAAGAAGAAGTGTTATTGTCGGAAATGGATTTGGTGGCTTCCTCGCCGTGCCCGCAGATGATCCTCCCAGACCCAGCAGCTCAGCTGGTGAAAAGAAAAGACATTCCAGGAAAAACAGCAGCCAAGATTTATGGCGATGATTGTACAGACATATTATTGGGCCCGATTTCACTTTGATGTTTTGCATTTTGGATCATTCTATCGACTTCATATTGATTTTCTTAATTTATGGAAAAGTTTGGTCCGGTCGCACACTTTTCTTTTGGGGTATATTTTTCTTCGACAATCATGTGAGACAAATAATCTCGCAGAGAGACACATTTAACGCAATGAGGATTTATGGAGTATACCATGGATATTCACGTTGGATCTATTATACAGCCTTTTTTGCCTTGCCTTGCGTGTGTGGAGCGTTTTATGTTTAATACCCTGAAGGCTCTTATGGTTATGAACGGAGAATGGGGATAGGATATCAGGAGATGATTGATAGTCTATTTTTTGGGATGGTTAGCGGGTTGAAAGGTTGAGTGTTTGATGGCATAGTCGATAGCGGAATAAAATGATTTTTTAATATAGCCTGTGGGCAGTGATGACATGATATTGATTTGTTGTGAAGTTGCTGAACACACTCTTTTTGAGATAGTTGCAGAGGGATGGGGAGTAATTTGGGGGAGAGGCTGAAGAGAGTTGATGGAGAAGGTATTGGAGCAGAGCACTGAAGACGGGGAGAATACACCACAGACGGGAGGCGGTCTGTGAGGAACCCGTGGTGTATTGTCGCATCGTGATGTTAAGGAAACCCATCGAAGAAACTCTTCAAATAAAAAACATCTAACTAACGATAAACAACTCCTACGCCAAAGAAATCTCTTGCCCCATGAATTAAGGCACAGCAAGGCCGTTAAGATATCACGCCATTTCATCCTGTGTATTTGTGGCGGGAGGTCTCGCTCGACCCAGGGGGTTTGAGTGAAATGGGATGATGAACAGGATGATGATGATTTTTTCCCTTCTTTTGCTCTTTGTTGGATTGGTGGAGGAAGGGAGAAAAGGAGGGATGGAGGTATATTGAGCGCTGGGTGTGTTTTGTCTCTCCGCGTATGTGCGTTTAGGCGGTTTTGAGTGAGTGTATAGGGTGTCAAGTGGCACGTTGTGTATGAAATTTATGCTGCGTTGATAGTTATTGTGCCATAAGATTCGATGGATGGGCGATATTTCCATGGTGGGGAGTTTGAGGATTTCAATACTCGGATTCAAATGGAGAATTTCTCAGTCCGGTCGTATTTGCAAAGGAATGGGAATGGATAATCAAAGCCAAAATAGAAAGTCTTCGAATTCTTTGGTGTGGTGGATACTAGGAATATCACTATGCTTCCAAGCGAGGGAACCTAACTTTGACAATGGTGTTTCTTCTACCAGTGTATCGCGTTCATGTGCCGTTTTGGAGTCGGAGAAGATCATAGATTGTTTGTTTTGGGAACTGAAGAATTTTATGCAGTTTGTGAGCTCTCGCGTGGATTGTGATAGTTGACTTGTCAAGCGTGTGTGTAAAATTGTAGCTTCAGTGACAGCCATTTCCGCGTGTGTTATCTTCAATCTGTGCCTGAGTTGACATTTTAGTTCTCTCGTACTTTGATCTTCATCGTCATTGTCATTAGTATTAACATTGATGTCATCATCATCATCATCATCATCATCATCTCTGTTCATCACATAACCCTGCGAAACATGTAGCCGAGATTTAGTATTGACTTCTCGATAACATAAGCCGAAACCAATCGCAAAGTCTTCTTTACCATTTTTATGCTTGACGCCAAACCTTCCAATACGTATGTATGCAAAGTTCCGCTGTCTAAATCTGCGTATGTTTACACTGCAGTTGTATTGCGGCTCGCATGCATTAAAACGGTCTTTCAGTCACGTCGGACACTTCCTCTCGAAGATCTATATACTCTTCAGCAGAAGAAATCAGCAGGACTCTTTCATCAAGAACTAAACATTTCTCTGTACGAAGAAACATATCTGGATCACGTGGGGAAGTTTAGTTGAGCCTGGGATTCGGGAGGATGAGATGATGATGCCCAGATACTGTTTCATGAAGTTCTGAAGATGTTGATTGAGGAAAGAATCAATGTATGGCGCGAAGTGCGTTTATGTCAAGTCTAGCACTAATCTAGCAATTAATATAGAACCTTATTACAAGTCATTGCGAATTTAGTTTTTGATCTTCTTTGCACTTACTGTCTTACTCACCTCGAAAGATCCTTTCTGATCTGGAAATTTTGAATGCTCACGCGTGTGAGATTACCATCACATTTTAAATCCAGATAATGGTTGACTGTAGCTACATTATGTGAAATTTGACATGTTATCCAGGCTTTTCGTGCGAAATATAGATACGATGCATTTCATTTGTGATGTGAGCTTTTCTTGAGTCATCGCTGTACATGTGTAATTTTACTGCTGTGAATCTATGGTTTCGTTCGTGATGAAGAGATTCGTTGTGTAATTGGTAGATGACTTTCTTCTTCGGGATAGACAGAAACAAGTCTTCTCTTAAGATACACACACTACCTGAAAGTACACGTCTGGAGTACTGGATAAAAAACATAAAAGCGTAGTTAATTTCTATTTTATTCAGAAATTTAGTGATAGCCGAGGTAATCCAATCCAAACACATCAACCCAGCCCGGAAGTTCCGGATATGAGCTCATCATACTACTCTTTTCTTCAAAAATCTCCTTACGACCCCTTCTATATAACATCCATAACTCACATTAAACATTTTCAGCCTTAGTGCAGTGGTAACATAACTTGACTCTGGGAAACAATCGTTGACGGGTTTCTCAAGAGTCTCTGACGAGAGTTTTGTGCAGGTATCATCGGGTTCGAATCCTGGATTCGGAAGGATTTTTTCAACTTTTGTTTTCACAACTGTTACTCTTATTCTCATTGAATTGATAAAGATGATTGTGTAAAGAACGATATACCATTTTGGCTTCGTGTATAACCACCCATCCATCCATCCATGATTCTTTCCCAAATCGCTCATTAAATGAGAGAAGTCTGAGTGAGGATCTACGCAATAAGTTACATAAGTAGAAGTTCAAACAAACCATATACTACAAACCCTCATGGCTACCCCGCTGCCCCTTCTCTTCCAAACCTAAAGTCCTTCATTGGAGTTGTTCGAGCTCTCGTAGTCATGCTACCCCAGATCACTCGTCTAAAACAGTTAGATTATTTACCCCTGTCGGAACTTTTGCCGAGCCCCCTATTGGCGCTATACTTCTTGGCGTCATCGATTTGATATGTAGGTTTCCTGTGAAAGGTTTGAATAATCGATGATTCAATGATTTGATTTGGAGATTTGGAATTTAAAAAAAATTGTGCGTATAGCTTGCCTACCAGAGCAAGCCCTTGATTTTTCCCAATTGCCCCTCGATTATTCTTGATTTTTCTAGGGCTTGAATGTTTGTTTCGTAACATCTGATGAAATGACATTTACCAATATCGGGTAGTATTATAGAATTGAAGTTTTAGACCCTTGGAGTGCTCTTCTTAGCTGTGTATATCGGTCGGTCTTACTGAATCAAGTTTAGTTTGTCTTAGTAGAAGGTACTCTCCTCTTGAATTTTTCGATGTCCACCCAAGAACCAGTTATTCCTCGGTGTCCTTTCCATTTTGCTCATTTTGTCCATCTTGCTCAATTGCTCGACAACGTTGAAGTTAATCCTCTCCTGTCTCAAGGAAAAATCATTTGTAACGCGAGTCGTAAGAAATGAATGTTCAGCTCGTGAAGTAAGAGAGACTCATAGGAGCCTATCCAAGTCAATAGGGTATTTTTTGTGCAAACTGAATTAGAAAATACAAATTAGAAAATCCATGCCTTCCATGTTTTCCTGCTTTCGTGAAATTACTAATGATTGATATGTGCCTGCCTGTCATGTGTTCCCCTTTGTGCCTGCTTGTACTTTGCGGCAATATGTACTTTCCCATTTGGTATATCTTTATGCCATACATCAACTCAATCCGCCATGAGCGTTGTAGAATCTTTTGCTTTTATGATAGCAAAGCGCAGTTTATAATTCCGTGCTTCCAGTGAGGCATCCTGACCGTACAATTAATAAAGTTACATGCATTTATCTAACTAGGGGTAGAAGAAAATGTAGGCAAGTAACAGGTTGAAGCATTAATTTATGGGTTATTTATCTGAATAACACACTCCTCTCAACAAACAAGAGATAAGGTGGTGGAGTGCTGGCCTAATTGGCTAGCCAGGACTCTCTTGAATACTTGGAGCTGTACATGCTCTACTTTTTTGTATTTTTTTGGCTGTAAAACGATCTAATAGAAGAAATATATATCTCAATAATACATTTCCTCCAACAAACAAGAGATAAGGTGGTGGAGTGCTGGCCGAAATGGCTAGCCAGGGCTCTCTTCAAACTCGGAGTTATTAGACTCTTCTTTTTTTTTGGCGTTTTTGAAAGTGCCAAGGAGATCTGCCGCTATGTGAGTAGTCTGGTGGAGTCCTATACCTTAACTAGCTTTGAGATTGGGTGTTTGCAAGCTTTGGGTACTTCATGAGGGATAGAAAGTTACGGTAATCGTGAAATGGGTAATTCGAGAGTGTTGGCCGTCAAAAGAATAGTCGGTAGGATTTGTAGCAGGTTGAGTGTCTTCGCTGAATAGCTTTTAGAATGGCTCTTTTTTTTTACGGGGAGAAGGTACCATCCGGTTCAATCAGCAAGCTGTAACATGCCTTCTCTATTTGTCACCTCTATGTATTCCAAAATATCTCAATTAGGTACAGCACCTTTGTTCGTGACTTCGTTCTCAATGTTTACCCCAATGATAGTTACATATTCATTCTGTTCAAGTCTCGGTAAGGAGTTGATGTACAGAAATTTATGACTCGACAATTTTAAAGTGTTCCTGTTCTCTCTTTTCGATATACCTTAACAAACAATATGCTTCACCATTAAAAAGTCCAATCCAGTGATAAATCAGTCTCGTGACGAATAAACAATACCCCCAAGACACTAGCACTAGAACTAGACTTTCAACCCTCCCCCCCCCCAGCAGCAGCCGATTCCCTCCGATCAAGCATATATATCTCAATACAACAGAAACACACCATCGGATTAGTGTAGTGGTAACATACCTCGATTTCATGACTGTGGCAATTGATCAGTTACGGACGAAAGTCCATATTCACAATTAATTCGCTTCATTCAGCTCGAGTAGCCCCAGGTTCGAATCCTGGATCCGGTAATTTTTTTGCATGTCATATCCATCTTTTCATCTAAAGAAGTATGTTGAGAGGAATGGCTTTTTTGGGGAGGGGGGTTCGAGGGGACTAGGAAGATAGAAAGGTGAATGGAGAATTTTTGCTAGAGTGGTGAAGGGATGGAGGCTTCTCGCGGGAGTGATGTATAATCAAATCGAATGTTAAGCGAATTCAAGAAGTTTGAGTTTTCTTGGAATTCAAATTGACAGAGGTTGCTTATGTGAATGTTCGTTTCTCTCTCAAACGAAGAGCTTCTTTTTTTCATGAATATCAGCTATGAAAGAGATCAGAATCATGTAATGTTTCCCAGCACACAACAAAATTACAATCACCCACGGAGATGACCTCCAGCATTTCACTGGATCAGACCGTTTTCATGGTTATGAATTTTTACGTTGACCTATTTATGTTGCTTATGGAGCCGATCATAAGCAGAGTCGTGAACGGGATTTCTTAAATCCGTATTCCCGTTAGAATAATTAGTTCAGCTGTTACTTATTGGTATACTAATTCGATGAAGCAATCCAGATTCTGTATATATGCATAGAATGAAGACAACTCCAAAGAGGGGTCTCATCAAGCTGACACCATCCTTATTTCTCAAATTTCAATGATTTTCAATTACCCTGTCTTCTCTGAGGGCGCGGTTTACAGACGCGATATATGAGTTCGCTCACTCAAAGACGCCCAGCTCTAATGAAGTTTTCTTCACGACAGCTTTAATCAACCAATCACGAAAGCAAAAAAGCACAAAAGCACATTACACATCCACAGTTATCACAAGGTTTCTAAAAAAAAAATTACATCGAAGCCAGACTCCGTCCTACATCATAGCATAGTATAGGTATTAAAATACTCCAAAATCAAGATCCCACATCATTATACACAATCAAAACCACAACACAACCAATAATTCCACTCACAGCATCTCCCACACTAAACCTCATCATCTCAATCTTCAAATTACCAAATGTCATTATTATTCGCCGTTACAAAAATTAATCTCAGAGTCCCAGCCCCTTCACTCGCTTAGCCCCTACACATATCATACTATACAGTAAATATAAAGTCCATAATTCCCTTTTTATGGAGTCGAATATCTCACCCCAGCTCAAATAGCTCAGATCTACTTGCAGACTCGACTACCTTCAGCCCAACAACATTCTCTCCCTGTTTAGTATCTATCCCGACAACTCCACAACATGCAGTAAGTATCTCAGCACGTATATATGTATAAAAACAATTCACATCACATCACAAAACCCAACCCAATTCCCTCTATCCAACTACCATCTTCCAGAATCCATACTTTAGCATCCGAGCTGATCTGATCTAGTAATCAATACAAATGTACTGGACCCTTACCCGTGTAAATGCCTGTCAACTTATTCCTCTTTCGGTTTGAGATACCAGCAGTGTTGATGTTCACAACATTTTAGCTTTGGAATCCGGGTCTTGGGTTGATGGGATTGAAGTGAATTATACTAGCTAAAAGACTTTCGAGTGGGATCTTGCTTGTAAATGTAGTACTTATATGTCAAGTTACTCGGAGTTTTTTCTCGTCTGTATGATATTCACCATCCACTTGTAGATGCAGTATTGTATATTAAACTACTTGGAAGGTTATTCTCGTATATATAACTTCTACCAAAATGAAAATCTGCAGGCAAAACAATCGATACCGCATAGTGTGTTATTTGACATGGAATCTCCAGTTTTTCAACAATCGACGTAATTATCATCAGATACGCCTCAGTAAATTCTTGTCCCTGTTCTTTCCTATCAAATTCATACCGTGACTGCCCTCTTCTCTTCCGTCTCCCTCCCCCCTCTCCCACAAACTCCACCCATTTTCCCATCCACTTCCCCCTCACAGCGTCCAGCCCCCTCATCTTCGGACTCGCATCCAAAGCCCGCTCAGTCCGCAAAGATTCCCCCACACCTCCCTCCATAGTCAAATCCCTACCCCTCCACAACCCATTTAGAAAATCATGTAATTTCACAGCCGGATTTTTCCTCACAGCAACACCACCATCACCATCAACACCATCCTCCTCACTCCTCACTCCTCACCCTCGAGCTATCCAGTCAAACTCCCGGCTCTACTATCTCCAGCGATCTACCTTCAACAATAGCACATAGCAATATACTCTAAGCCACCCAATACAAATTCCAAAGATCAAACACCCACTCATCTTCTTCATCCTCATCTCCATTACCAAATCCACAAATATACCACCCAGCAAATCCACAGGTGACAGGTACACAATCCACAACATCAAACCGCAGACCTAGAATATCAGGGATCCGACCCAAATAAATCAGACCAAGCATTACTGTAAACTCGGAAACCATTCTTTCTGATTTCGCAGGCCTGGGTTGGGTTTAGGACCGGACCGGCGATTCAACCGATGCGGATGATGCTTCTCGGGACTGTTCTGCCTAGATGTTAATCTGCGGCGTCGACGAGTAATCGGGAGAGGAATTTGGCGCTTGCGTAGCTAAACGGCATTGGGGTTTTGAGATTAGATATTATTGCCCTCGGGACAGGACCTGCTGTATGTTTTTCTACTGCTGCAATGGGAGAGATGAGTACGAAGCGTATTGTATAATTAGTAGAGACAGCTAGGCTTAACAGATGAACAATCTCTACAAATTGTGAATGAAATGCCGAAAGTACTAGATTGAAATTCACGAGCCAAGCAGCGTGGACAATGAGATTAATATTTTCATTAAGTGGCTTGTATTTGTGCTCTTCTATACTGAGTAATAGTAATTCAAGATCTACTTTGATTTAGATGCGCGATTTCTGGCTTAGTCGAAGCAAATCTGGAAGTTGTAAATATCTTGTATTGCTTAGCTTTTCCACCATCTTCTCCACATTTCAAGCAGAAAACATGTGCGATCCCGTCACGGTTGAGTAAGACTTGCAATAAACCCGAACCTATATTTACCTATAGACCTGGTGAGAAGAACATTGATGGGCATCGATGCTTGATTGGCATATTCGGCTGGCTTGTTAGGTACTGGCATGGTTTTAATTTAGTCACAATAGGTAGTGAGTAGAGCTACCGATGGCACCATGAAGTGACGCAATCGGCTTACAGCATCAAGGGTAACATTGGCAGAGAGTGGGATGAGATTTGAAGTAACCAAAGTCTGACATTCTACGTGATCAAATAAGACACAGTGTGCGGCTTAACTATTGCGAGATGAAGTGGCGAACATCTGAGACCGATACGGCCATCAGTACAAGATTGTTGCAAAGATGAAGTAGAAAATAGCAAATGGCAAATAGATATTACGAACTGTGTAGCCACTTTGGCTGCAGCAAGAACTTGAGCTGAGTAGTGGACGTCGTTTGTGCCAACATAAGCCAAGACCTTGGGATTAGCTGCATATCTACCGGAGTCACCAAGTTGTTCTACCAGCAATCACGCCAGACTGCCAATGATTTTTGTTAGCTGTGCGTAGGTAATGGCTACTACACTATCTTTGCTCACCCATTCACCATACTTATTATCCGATGTTTGGCGTCCAATTTGTTCGACAATATGTGGTGCTGGAGCATTTTGCCATTGCGCGATTTGTTCATGTGTCCTGACCACGATGCCAAGTTGGGCTGAAGACATATTTTTGGGAGCCGTCGAGAAGTTGTCTGAGAAAGTGTTGGAACCGAAAGCGGTATCTCTACCGCTAGGTACGTGAACTTGCTTCGAAGCAATTGATATCTTGATTCATTTGCTGCGTGCCTTCAAATATCAATGCAAGATGACAACCCTGATGTCTAAAGCTGCCTGTCTATATCGTTTTCAATGCCATCAAAGCATTGTGTTGATGGCGAGATAAACAACAGGCTGATTTTTGGAATAATGGGGGCTGGTGCGAGAGTAGACAACAAAGATATTTTGCTCAAAATCGATGACTTTAAAAGAATCTCAACTGTTGGCTTGATCCACCGAACCCTGGTCATAAGCAAGATTCGAAAAGCAGGCAGCTTTTTGAACGGGATATCTTTCCCCATCCTTAAGTACTCTAGGAAAATGTGTATCACCTAAGACTCTCCGCACTTGTGAGTTGATGAGATTGCTCTTGTACAATCGGCCCTTCGATGCTCGAGTTGCTAGGTAGTTAACAGGCACAAGCCTAAAGTCAGATTTCAGTGATTGCCCTTTCATTGAGACTCTTTGAGAAGTAGATGCTTCTTCTGACTAGATTGAGGTCTTGACGAGGAAATCAAGCTGAGACGTTGAATTGGGCAAAGCAATTCAGAGCGATATAAATGATGATGTTTTCTCACTTGATTTGCTTGGCAGAAAGACCCCACCAGAAAGAGGAATCAAAAATAGTCACTGGGAGCTGGTGCAGCAAGTCGTCACCGGGAGCAACTGACCATATATAGATGAGTAAGCAGTGGTTAAAAGTCCCCCCACGTTACTCCGACTTGTGTATCTTCAAGCTAGGGTCATACTCGTGTGCATTTGACTTCGTGAAATACTCAAGTAGCTTGCCTTGACTTGAGTGTTCGCCATGACATTCTTTATTGCATTCTCCTACCTTGTCTTGCTTTGCGATGTTTTGCTTTCCTTTTCCCATTGGAGATCTGGGATTCCATTAAATAGATAGCAGTGGATGAAACTTACGATATACAAACATCTATTGTATTGTGCCCGATGAAAATTGGAGTATAATAAATGGACCATTTTGGCGTTGGAGCCCATTATGTAGTTTCTACCGACGGAGATACCGGTCTTAAGGCCAAGTTGTGGGGATTGGAAAAAGTCAATATCTTCAGAATGGCGAATTGATGGATGCATGACGTCGTCGTTAATTTTCTTGAAGGTTCAATGGCAAGTAAGTTGACATATATCGGTATGCGTGGTAACACTTGATAATACATGGTAGTCAGCATATAAATTGAACCGAGCCGAAAGTTATGAGTCATCGGCGTTTATTAGTAACCCATGTACTGGCTTAAATCGGTTTCTATGCTTCATCACATCAGCTCGAAAGATCGGTAAGCAACGCGCACACCAAATTGATGCCTTGAAAGCGCGTCGGATGGTAATTTCCTCTCATCTATCTCGAATTCTCTTCCCCTTCATGATTACGTAACCTTACTGTTACTGTTCACGTGCACTTGCACTTGCTATCATCGATATCGATATCTCGCAGCCTGGTGAAAAGCAAGCAAACCACAACATATACCTCCTTGGTGTGCGTATTGGTACCTGCCTCGTTTGGGCAAAACATTCAACATTAATAAACTCTTCGGCACATACCGCTAGTCTATTTGAGCCCAGACCCTCTTTGGCGGGGGTGGCCAAGTGCCAGCCTTATTCAGTAAACAATACTTAGCTTGAGGCTATCATTTATCATTCGACAGTCCACTTATCAACAACCTCAATCCGTATTTTTACAATATCTCCTGTCGCAAACATTTTGCAGAGATTTCTATTGATTTCTGTTCATGGAAAGATTACTAAACTTCATATTTCAATCATTTGAAATCATATAATAACTTGGTGGCGGTCCTTTCCAACCTTCTGTACTGATTTGCGCCTGTATCCAAGGATCTGGACCACAGGCAGAGTTCACCCCCCTTGTGAGTAGTTTGGCAGTTGAAAGTTCCCGCATTAATTTTGGTGCAACGACTGATTATTCTTGCAGAATATGCGATTGCTAAGTTGATATCATATACTGTGTGTGATATAATATATCTTTCCTAAACTCTCCGAATCATTCTCTCCACAAATCACGATATAATACATGGTGTTTTGGTCGTCGGCCTCCCCGAAAGACGATACTAAATAACTCATATCCCAAACCTGCGGGGGTTTTCTTTAACCATATCGGCTATTAGTTTGCGTTTCAGTCGTTGGCAAAGGCTAAGGTAGAGGGAAAACGTCATTGGAGCTATTCTTAATTATTCGACTTTCGCGCTACCGATCGTTCGTCATCCTCGAGCACATCAGTAATACTCGTTGTTGGACCTGGACCTGGGCCGAAGATTGCTGTTTATTATTTTGAGTGGTTGATCTTTATGTTCGGGAAAAGTGCGTGAGAAATCGGGGACAATTGTGAACACTCTATAGGGTCTGGTAGATTATTGGCAGGAAAAGAATATCGGTGGAGACCTGGATTCAAGGAAGATCATACTTCCGAGTTTGCCATCTTACACTTTGACAAGAAGGGAAGTTTAAATCACTTTGCCCTGTCATTGTAAGCCATCAAGCACCAAAGCTAGACTCTTGAAAAGGGGGCACCAATTTATATGTGAGATTCTAGTGCAGTCAAACACTGCCGAGTGGACATAAAGCTGTTTGTCACCTGCATCTATACCTCTATCTCCCCCACTCGTTGCCAATAGGGTCCGTTCGTTCTCTTCTCCAACGAGCTAACGGGCTACTTCACCTATCAAATTAGGAGCTGATCGTCTCAGCGCAAGTCACATCGCCTCCTTGTGCTATAATTTTCATTGGCCGTTTGCATCAAGAAAGCCCGGCTTACACCGACTCTCTGGTGGTGAAATACTGGTAAAGAAAAATAAACTGTATTCGAACAGGGCCCATTCCTGTGAGCTTATGAGTAAAACATAACCTTGGCCCGGGCTTGCTTCTTCGATTTCTCCTCACAAATCAATAATAATTCATCATCATGACTCCTACGCCCCCTTCTACTACCTCTTCAAGCGCCGGAGCTCACTCTCCAGAAGAGCAATACCGGGTGGTAAGAAAGAGAAATAGGGTCCCTCTGTCATGCGGGCCTTGCCGGCACAGAAAGTGAGTCTAATACGTTCTATTCTATCAAAATCTAGGCCATCCAGCACAGATATACTAATCCTTCTTACGAAACAGGTTGAAATGCAACAGGTCGCACCCATGTGAGAATTGTACGAGGAGAGGTGACGCCTCCTCGTGCTCATATGCTGCACCAGGAACACGAAAGAAGAACCAAAGTCAAGGCTCAACCAGTCCTGATGATATGCAAAATCGTATTGACCGTTTAGAAGGTTTAGTCTTATCATTGATGACAAATGGCGCTTCATCTGCAGGTCCAACCGCCGCCGCCGCTGCCATTAACCGTTCTCAGAGCGATAGTGCGGGTTCATCCTTTCCCCCCGATTTAGACCAAGACGATGATGATATGATTAAAGAAGAGGATGACGGAGATAGTGATGTGGATGGTGTTGCTAATTCACTAGGTATTATGAAAGTTGATACCGATAAAGGAAAAACAACATATATAGGAGAATCGCATTGGCATTTAGTCTTAAAAGATGTATGTTGTGGCCTTCATTTCTTTCTTCACTGCCTGCTTCCATCACGAACTCTCTAGATCAATGTAAATCTGCAAACATGCAAATCGCTAGAGTTGTCTCTCCGGTTGAATACTCGGACAAGATGACTTTAGGTATATGGCAATGTCGAGTAGTTTTTTCAATACTCGTCTTTCGTTTATGCTCTTTGCAGGTCTGGTGTGGATCAAAATCGGTTACTAATTTATCGAAAAGATCGCAGAAGTCAAAACCTATTTCAATAATCATAAAAAGGAACTCGAAAATAACTACGAAAAAATCAAATCTCAAAAGCCGCCAGCCAGTGATGGTCCGGCCTTTCTATTTGGTGCCCATACACCGGCTACAGATGAAGAGCTTCGAATGGCAGTTCCTACAAAATCGGAGGTCGATAAACTCATCACCAGGTCTGTGAATAGCCATAACAATAGAAAGAAAGGTCAGCTAATTGTTTATCAGATATTTTAACACATACGACCCAGCTATACATATCATACACTCTCCGACTTTCCACAAGGAACTGCAAACCCATTGGCAAGATCCCACAAAAACCTCGATAGTATGGCTAGGCCTTTTATATTCAATCCTCTGTTTAGCCATGCAGTCATACCAAAAAATTGGGGATGAACCACCGGAATGGAAAGGTAGAGAGCCCACATTTGCTTTTCTTTTGATCGGCTCTTCTTGTTCTGTTTACATCGACCTCTTTTCACAGTGCTAAATTATTATTTAGGTCGTACTCTCGACATAGCTGGTGATTTCAGACAACGAACGGTCCAGTGTCTTGTTAATTCCGATTATACAAAGTCATCGCTCTACACGATTGAAACGCTAATATTATACGTACACGGCGAGTATGCGAGCCGTTGGGATGCCGAAGTGGGACTTTGGGTCATAATTGGCATGATCACTCGACTATCAATGCGTATGGGCTATCATCGGGATCCAAGCAACTTTCCTGGTATCACTATCTTCCATGGGGAGATGCGTCGTCGACTATGGGGATTTGTGCGCGCCATGGATACAATGTTCTCCTTTCAATTGGCACTCCCAAGTATGATTCGTGATAGCGACTGTGATACAAAACTTCCTCGCAACATATTTGAGGATGAGTTTGGTCCAGATTCGAAAACATTACCACCCGCGAGACCCAATACCGAACCTACCCCTATATCTTACATGCTCGCCAAGATCAGCATAGCCAATGAATTCAATTGCATTCTGGAGGAAATACAAAGTGTCAATCCTAAGAGCATTGCTTATGATGATATCCTCGCCCGCGATAATAAATTATGGGAATTAAAACGCAATCTTGCTCCCCATCTTCGACTCAGGCCCTTGGAAGAATGTATGCATGATCCTGCGACGCTCCTGATGCATAGGTTCAATGTAGATATTCTATGGCAGAAGACTATGTGTGTTCTTCATCGCAAATATCTTGCACGAGCGAGACAAAATTCTCGCTACGATCATTCTCGTCGAGCCTGTGTCAATGCTGCGATGGAAATTCTTCGACATCAACACAAACTTCATCTTGAATCTAAGCCCGGAGGACGATTGCGATCGATGAGATGGGCGATCTCATCTCTTACCAAACACGATTATTTACTGGCCGGTATGATAGTATGCTTAGATCTACATTACGAAACCATTTGTCCGTCGGATAAACATTTCTGGACAACAGAACAGCTTGCCAATATGCTCAAGGCAGTTGAAACCTCCCAAAGTATTTGGAGTGAAACCGTGGAAGAATCGATGGAGTCATTTAAAGCATCCAAAACTCTAAATATCATTCTCGAAAAATTGAAGGCTTCTAGGGAGCCTGCCGCCAATGCTTCTGCCACACCTATGAGTACAGCCGACGCTTTTTCGCACTTCGATGATGAGAACCTCAAGCCTGAACAATCGGCAGCTATGACTCTCGGTATGCTTTCTGGTGGTTTGTCTCCAAATTCGGCAGCGATGTTCAATAGTATGGGCCAATCTTCAGGATACACAAACATGGATCTGAATATGGGTGAACCAGGTGGAACTGGTCTCACTCCTTACCCACTTGACAACAATTTGAACCCCTTTGCCACTATGAACGCTAGTGCGTCTCCCTTCTCCATGTTCGGCAATACCGGTAACGCTTCTGGAATGATGGATCTACCAGCAAATCTCGACTGGGTAAGTTCATATTCTCAGACTCTTCTGTCCAAAACTTATATTGAGTTAAAATGCTAATTGGGAAATAGGAACAATGGGATCATTACATAGGAAATTCAAATACAATCGATCCCGCATTTCAGTTCTATCCAACAAATTTAGAACCTTCGCCACCTGGTGGAGATCAAGAACAAGGACAACAAAATGACCCGTCGAACCCATTTGGTGGTCCTTTCATGGGCGCAAACACTCCTGGTAGATGAAAACAAATGGTTGAACAAGATGATGTTATATGATAGCACATGACAGTGTGCATGTTAGGGGATAAATGGAGCAGTAAATGTTATTGAATGATACCACGCGGATTCGACATTTGGCCTTTTGGGAATTCGGGAGTTGTGATGTAATAGGAAAAAACCCCTCTCGACGTTTAAAATTAAAAGTCCGCTGATTTATATCTTCAATGCGATCTTATTATATGGTGATTGATTTGATCATGATATGATATGTAATTGACGCACACCTGGCTGCGTGCTTAGATTGACCTTCAAATGCCTTCTTGGGGTGTGCGGAAAAATGTCTACATCTTTATGGGTGATGGGTTGTGCGATTTTGCTTGTCTTATTCTAGAATTTGGAAGGTGGTTGTGATGGAAATGATCTCTTTATGGACCTCGGGAGTTGGAGGTTGGAGGCTGGAGGTTGGAGATGGACATTGTTTTCATGATGTATTGGATGTATGTGGTAATGGATGTATGTGGTGATGAGTGCGAGTGGATCTGAGTGATTTGTTTGAGAAGATATGTGTGTGCTGGTCTTGAGATTGCTTGAGTATTGGGATTTGGAAAAGTAGATACTATAACTTGGTAGAAGAAAGATTTTTTATAAGGCGGAGATTTTGAGTACCTGTCATCTAGCAGATATTCACTCACCCGTATATTCATTTCCCCACCAATTCATCTTCCATCTGTTTCTCAAGTCCTCACTTCCCCACTTCACATTGATTCACTCCCCTTAAACTTCACTCGCTTCTACTCACGCTTCACACTTCAACCATCTCATCCTATCTATCTCATCCCATCTCACCATTTCCACTCCCCCAAAAAGAAGACTCCCCAAAAACCAAAACCAAAAACAAACTTCCCTCTCCCTCAAAACCCCCAAAAACATCAAAAGAAAGATTCGAACCGAGGCTAAGCCGGCCCGACCCCCAGAAACCACGACCGTTTGCTGTGATGCTGGAGCGTCGAGGCCCATAGGAGTAGGCCGAAGCAGCTACACTATGACTCCCCTAATCTTAGCGATGTTTGCTGGGTTTTGAGGGTATGTATACCACAGGTCGGTTTAGGGTGTGGCTTAGGGGTATTTATCATCTCTTGTAAGTAATTTACTAACCAGTCAATCCTCTTCGGATCAAAGCTGTGATTTCAAGGAAATTTTATTCCAGTTTAAGCAACCCTACCAGAAAATATGGTAGGATGAAAGTACGTCGAAAAATACACTTTCGGCGCGTAGCATGGGATCGAGCGAGCAAGATGTGTTGTTTTTTCTGCGTACTCTCGCCTTCTAAATTCTCCGAGCTATGCTTTTGGCCTTGTTCGCAATATTGCCATCGAAACACTTGTCGAGTTGTTCGAGAGCACGGATTTGCGACACAAGAAGATCATGCGGGTTGAATCATTCGCATGGAAGTAGTGGTATTTAATCCGTGAAATTCTTCGACGGAGAAACACGTACATCCTAGCATAATATAGTCAAAGTTGACTACTTCATCTTCTCGCATTCAGTTTCTCATAATCTTGTGAGAGTATCCAGAAAAGCAATCAGTAAATGAGTGTTCGCTTGCTTGCAACGGGTCTTCTGTCACCGAGAGCATGATAGCCCCATTGCTACCCATCCTGCCCTCATTATTCTAATGAATTTCCTCGTAGAATCATCATCATCCTATCTCTCCCATCTCTATCAAGCTTCAAAAGCTTCAAGAGGTAACACTTCGCACCTCAGTGCTTCAAGTTCACTCCGTTGAAAACCATATCGAGCAAGGTAGAACCTTTAAGTGATACTGATACACATAAGTACCATGTACTTCCTCATCTGTGGGTACCATTCTTATTCAGTATTTCTCAGGTTCGAATTTGGACGTGTATGTAGATGAAGCAACGTGAATAAAAGCCATCAAGATTCAAGACATCCCTATCACCGGATCACATCCTGCCCCCTTTGAACTACGCCATTAGATTGTATTGAGATATATTTATCATTATCAGCTTATCTACTAACTAGCCAACTAACCTACGTCAAGTCAACGCCGCGACCGACCGTAAAAAACGCGTAAACTCCCTTTCATTTCGTTCCTCTACCATTCATTTGTACATTTGACAACGCTCGGGTATTTCAATATTTTCTTTCCATCCGGGCTGTCCCATTTTCCATTGCCTCAGTCTCCACATTCAAGTCTAGTGCTCCAGCTCATCCATAGGAATTTCCTCAATATCCTTTCCTACAATTCCTTCTGAGACCTTCCAAATTTGAATTAGATTGTCTTCTGCTGCGCTACATACTACCCATGGTTCATTTTGGTTCCAGCTAAAGTCAGCAAGATGATTTGTGTGACCTCCGTGCATAAATAATCTAAAGCGGATTAGAATTTTAACTGCTCCAACATACGGGAATGGAGTACTTACAACTCAGGTGGTCCATCATCCTGATCATCTGGTAATTGCTCCATGCCAACTCTGCTAAGATCCCAGAAAATGACTCTGCGATCATAACTGCCACTTCCCAATACAGCCTCTTCAGTTGGGTGCCAAGCAAGCGAAGTAACAGCATCCATGTGGCCTTCCAGTGTGTGAAGCCTCTCTTTGAGATTTCTCAAATCCCAAAGACCAATGGTCTTGTCTGCTGATGCGGTAGCTAGGACAAATTCTGATGCAGGGTTGAAAGCGAGTGCGTTGATGGCATCAGTATGACCTTTGCCTGTGCTAACTGATTTATCTGTATCTGGTTGTCTGATATCGAGGATTTGTAAAGTCAAATCATCTGAGACTGTTCCAATCAAAGATTTGTGGGAGGGGTGATATTGGACATCGTTAACGATAGAAGTGTGGTGGGTGTAAACTTTACTCGACTTCAACTTGTTGTCGTTCGCCTGCAAAGTATTGAGATCCCTATCACCAAGTCAGTAGAGCCTTAAGGTTCGAAACCTGTTTGACCTACCATAATCGGACTGTTTTGTCTTCGCTACCAGTCGCAAGCTCACCAGCAACGTGTGGATTCCAGCCTAAACCAAATCCCTCCTTCTTGTGTCCTATAAGCTCAATTTGTGGGCTGACAACACCTTTAGGAAGGCTACTGTGCTTGGTACGATCGAAGATCAAAACTCTGCCATCAACACACATAGTAGCTATAATATTTGGGTTTTGTGGCTGGTATCTGGCTTTGTTAACCTCTCCCGGATGATCGATCTTCTGCTCGATGGTCATTTTAATCGCTGCCTGTTCCCCAGATGATGATTTCCCATAACCTCCAATCTCCTCTCGATCCTCATCGTAATCAACATGGTTTGGGGTGACATTTTTTGGCAACTCGACATTGGCAATTTGTAGATAGTTCTGTGCGCCGTTCGAGGTATGAGTACCGATAAGAAGTCTGTGGACGGAATAGTTCTTCCCTGCTGGTCTTGGATTTATTAGTAACGTTCACAACCGAAACAACTCAATTGGACATACTCTTTAACATCAGGAAACCATTGAGTTGTCAAGGTAGGCCATTCGAGCGCAGTGCTAGTAGACTATTAGTTAAGATCCGGCTTGAAGAGTCGTATGATAGATCTACCTTAAAATCATATCGTAGAGGAAAGGACTGTTCTTCTTCCATGTTTTGTACTCTGATCGCAAGTTTAGCTATGATCCCTCATTTCTTGGGGCAAGATCAAATTAGTACCCTCATTGATAATCTTTTGTTCCATATCTTCATTATCATCTACCGATTGATTCACTTTCACAACCATTAGCAAGTCTTTACAAGATTGAGCTTACAGAATGGAATGCGCTGCATCGCAAAAGCAAAACTTACTGTTCACGTCAGGATCTTCTGACTGAGGGGCCATGTTGGCGATTATTTCCTGCTCGAGAACCTTTGAGGTTTGTTGTAAAATTCCACTTTATGTTGTCAAAAGCGCTCAGAAATATCTAAAAGTTAGAAAAGGTAGCTCTGGGAATACCTCCTAGTATCGTATATTGCACTAAATTTACTGGGAAGACGCGCTCCAAAAGCGCGCAATTGGTGGGTCGTTTATAGCTTCGGAACGGCCCAGTCGGCCGCTAGCGTCAATCGTGACGTTAGTGTGAGTGGTGGGAGAGCTTCTTGTTGATGTCCTCGAACGAAGTTGAATTAATTCTTTCCTTGATTCCTTGAAGAGATTATTTCTCATTATTTACCACTCCCACCAAGCCATCCGTGGCGTTCGATAGAAGAAGCAGAATCAAATCTCCACCCTACAATAGCCCTGTTTGTAGCTATTTGCGCCCCTCGTTTTCATCTTCTGGTTGAAGCAAAGTGCGCCACTTCAACAATTATAAACTTCAAATCGCAAACTATCTACAACATACAATCATCCAGCACATTCTGCGCATTGTTTTTACATCATGGGTGTCCCGAAGTTCTTCAGATGGATGAGTGAGAGGTATCCCTCGATCTCACAGTTGATTGCGGAGAATAGAATACCAGAGTTCGACTGTCTGTATCTGGATATGAATGGTATTATTCATAACTGTACCCACAAAGACTCAGATGATGCGACCTTTCGTATGACGGAGGAGCAAATGTTCATTGCAATTTTTAATTACATTGAACATCTTTACGGAAAGATCAAGCCAAAGCAGCTGTTCTTCATGGCCGTTGACGGAGTGGCTCCTCGCGCAAAGATGAATCAACAACGAGCTCGAAGATTTAGAACGGCATTAGATGTCGAGAATGCCAGAGAAAAGGCAGTTCGAGAAGGAAAGGAAATGCCAAAAGAAGAGGCGTTTGACAGCAATTCAATCACGCCAGGTAAGCCGTTTGAGCACTTTAATGTTACAAAGCTAATGATTTAGGCACGGAGTTTATGCAAAAGCTGACCCAACAACTGAAATATTTTATCGCAAAGAAGATCTCAGAGGATGTGGATTGGCAAGGAACCGAGATTGTGCTCTCAGGGCATGAGGTCCCAGGAGAGGGAGAGCACAAAGTTATGGAGTACATTCGCCACAAGAAAGCACAACCTGATTACGATCCTAATAGACGCCATTGTCTTTATGGTTTGGATGCGGACTTGATTATGTTGGGATTGCTAAGTCATGACCCCCATTTCTGCCTCCTTCGTGAAGAAGTTACTTTTGGTAGGCAGAGTAAAGCCAAGTCAAAGGAGTTGGAGCATCAAAATTTCTATTTGATGCATCTGTGCATTGTTAGAGAGTACTTAGAGTTGGAGTTTCAGGAGTTAAAGGAGGAGGGTGTTCTAGGTTTTCCATTCGATCTTGAGCGCGTTATTGATGATTTCATCCTCATGGCGTTCTTTGTCGGCAACGATTTCCTACCGAATCTTCCAAATTTACACATTAACGAGGGAGCATTGGCGTTGATGTTCAAGATATACAAGACTGTTCTGCCTAAGGGGGTGGATATATCAATGAGGGGGGAGCTATTAACATGAGTCGATTGGCAATCTTGCTTGAGGAGCTATCTCATGTTGAGTACAGATTTTTTGAATCTGAGAGTTCGGATTCATCATGGTTCAAGGCTAAACAAATGTCAAAGGAGGACGTCATGGTAAAAGGCAAAAACAAGGGCAAGCTTGTTATGACCACGGCACAGCAACAGATATGGAAAGAAGTCAAATCTTATGTTCAAAAGAGAGGTTCAGAAGCACTGGATTTATCCGACAAGCTTCCCGCAGCAGATAGAAAATTTGCACAGGACTTAGCAGAGAGTCTACACCTGGAATGGAAGACGGTACAGAATGATGCTGGCGAACGTCACATGCAACTCTCGTTCCCTGCTAAGCTCGGTGCCGATGAAGAAGAAGATGATGATGAAGAGGAAGAATCTCAACTTGCCATTATGCGAATTGTCAAACAATATGACAAAGCAGAAGTTCTTGACGTTTCTAAAGAACAGGCACAAGCCGAGATGGATCGCAAATATGAAGAGAAGTTCCAAGAGTGGAAGGACAAATATTATGAGGGCAAATTTGATTGGGACCGAAAGAACGAAACTGAGTTGACGAAACTATGCGAGAATTACGTCCAGGGTTTACAATGGGTTCTTTACTACTACTATCGTGGTGTCGTATCGTGGCCGTGGTATTATCAATATCACTACTCGCCGATGATTTCTGGTAAGCATTCTTTCTCGAAGATTTTATTGCTAAGCTAACAATCTCATCAGATGTCATAAAAGGACTCAAAGCTGATATCAATTTCAAGCTTGGTCAGCCATTCCATCCATTTGAGCAACTCATGGGTGTGCTACCGGATCGTAGTAAGAAGATTGTACCAACAGTATATCACGATCTCATGACAAATCCCGCTTCTCCTATCATCGACTTCTACCCTCGAGATTTTGAGCTAGATATGAACGGAAAGAAGATGGAGTGGGAAGCTGTGGTCAAGATTCCATTCATCGATGAAAAGCGATTATTGGATGCTATGGCTACGAAGAACAATTTATTGAGTGATGCCGAGAAGTTCAGGAATGAGTTTGGGGTTTCCTTAAAGTTCACTTATGACCCAGATGTCGATTTTACTTATCCATCTTCATTGATGGGCATCTTTCCAGATATCCCTCACTGCCACTGCGTTGAAAATATTTTCGACTTGCCGACAATTGAGGGTTTGGATTTTTACCATGGTCTCATGGATGGAGCCAAGCTTGGATCAGCATCTCTAGCTGGATTCCCAAGTTTGGGCTACCTTCCATACAATGCAGCATTGGGCTTCCATGGAGTCAACGTTTTCCAGTCAGACAGCCGTAATGAAAGTATGGTCGTCACAATTGAAGATAGTGAGATTCGTACCAATGTCAAGACAGCGCAACAGAAGCTTGGTAAAAGAGTATTTGTTGGCTATCCTTTCTTACAGGAAGGTAAAGTTGTCAAAGTTTCTGACGAATTATTCGATTATCTACCCTCTGAGGATGCCAGTGGTCAACCTATTACTAGGCCCCATGGACCTCGCGAGATCGATGACTTCCGCAAGAAAGCAGAGAGAATAGAAAGCACCTATAGCAAGCGTTTTGGTATAATCATTGGGCCAGTAGAGTCTCTAACTCATGTGGAGATGTTGAAAGGCTTGAAAAAGATGGATGACGGTGCGACCATCAAAGAATATGCTGTTATACCTGGCCAGGACACAGACTACGCTTCGCAAGTTGTAGTGGATGAAGTTGTCAGCGAAGATCAGCGGTTCTTAGAGAAAGCGGCTTTGCCTGTGGAAGAGGAATTTCCTGTTGATGACAGAATATTTTTCCTTGGAGACTTCAACTATGGCCGACCAGGACTGGTTGAAGGTCATACAGATCACAAACTTCAAATATCATTGTCAACGATCAAGGGAAAAGAAGTGGAATTTGGCAGAAACATTGTTCACGATTCTAAGAATGCTACTCAGTATACACCATCCTTTGCAGTGGCTAAAATGCTAGGGTTGCACCCTTTGGTACTCAGCAAGATTACTTCATCCTTCCAAGTCTCTGCCGTGGGTCAACTCCGCGTCAACTTGGGACTGAACCTTAAATTTGAGGGCAAGAAACTCAAAGTTTTGGGTTATTCTCGAAGAGCTGATAACGGATGGGAGTTTAGCAATAAAGCCATCGAACTCATCAGCACGTACATGACCAAATTTCCTCATTTCTTTGCCGGTATTCAAAGAAAGCCTCAAGGAAACGATTATGAGGAGTCCGATTTCCCTGGTGCTAGTATCAAGGAGATTGTGGCATGGCTTAAAACCATCGAATCCAAGAACTTTGAAAAGGTGCCTCTAGATGCTGAGCAGCTTGACTCTGATACCGTGATGGCCATCGAACAAGCCGCCCAGCATGCTTTGGTAAACGGCCCTCAACCTCAACGAACAACCTTGAAGGCTGTTCCACGAGGTGCCCTCTTAAAACCATCTGATGCTGAACATCGTTGCGGCAACCAGAAATTTGCTTTGGGTGATCGTGTTGTTTATGTTGCAGATTCAGGTCGCGTTCCAATCGCCACACGTGGTACTGTTGTAGGAATCTCTCGCACTCCACGTACCACTCTGCTCGATGTTTTATTCGACGTTACTTTCATGAGTGGTACAACTCTTGGAGAACGATGCTCTCCATTCCGTGGCTCCACTGTACCAATTGCCAGTGTACTAAATCTTACCAACAAGCAATTGATTGCAGGTTCTAGAGCTGCTGCCGAGAAACGACCCGCTCCAACTAGCACGCCTTTGACAGCCAATGGAGGCTATGGTTATGGACGAGGTCAACAATATAGAGAATCTGGACCACCCCCTCCACTTCGAGGCTCTTTCCGTGGTGCTGTCTCAGGCCAACGTGGAAATTTCACACCCCGTGGTGGACGTGGTCGTGGTGGATTCACTAATGGAAACACCAATGGAAATTCTGGTGATAATGCTACGCCGGCTGTTCATAGCAGCATGGTTATTCGAGACACGACACCCGTGAATACGACCGGAAATGCCAATGGCACCCGAGGTCGCGGAAATGCGTTTGCAGCCGCTAGAGGTGGTAGCCCTGCAGCCGGCAACGTAGCATACAACAATGTTCCTCCTCCATCTACGTTGGATTCACGAGGTAGAGGTAGAGGCCGAGGTGGTAGAGGCCGCGGTGCTTCGAGAGGTCGAGGTGGTAATCCACATCCTCCACAAGCTTAGATCTGCAGTTTTTTGGTTCTTGACTTTTTCTTCATTGGTACTTCTGGAAAAGCATGGCGATATTGGGATGGCATAGGATTTTCATGATGTTCCATGGCATAATTTATCGGGAGAAATGGAAACAAGTGGTTTGTTTTTCGGTTGGTAATTTTACGAGACTAGATCAACGATTTCACGAGTGGGATGGTAATGATTTGCT